GGGTTCTGATGGCCATTTCCCACCCCTTCACTAACAGGAGCAAGGAAGCATTTTCAAAGAGCTGTAACAGGATGTAACCCCCTGGGTGACTCTGCCCGCACCGGGCTGGCACAGTGCCGCCGTGCTGCCCTCTTCCTGTCCCACGCTGATGCTTGGCCCAGCCGATGCTCCAGAGGGTCCCTGGGGGGGGGGTCCAGCTCCTGCACACACTCCACAGCATCACCAGTCACTCCCTGAAGCAGGAGCAAGAACCAGACCCAGAGCAAGGACTTGGTTGTGCTTGGAGCAAATGATTTCCAGTCCCTGAACTGGGGGATTGAGAGCAGGAATGAGGAAGGGAACAGGTAAAACCGGGTGAAGTTTACGAGACAATGAATTACCTATCTTCCTGCTGAGCATGATGTAAAGTGTCAGCAAGAGGAGAGCATGTAGGACCAGGGTCACGGCTGAGATGGCAACCGGCACCTTCCTGAACAAGAGGAGAACAGCTTGTCCAAGTGACGGAGATAACCCGACTGTTTTAAACCTTTGGGGTGCTGTTGGCTGCCTTTGCTTCAAAGCACGGTTTAGATCAAGGTTTGCCCCTGCAGTTTCTGCCTTTAAGGTGATGTGCTCAAAAGCCTGGGGCTTCAGTTTCAAAGATGCCTGGTGCTGCCTGCACTTCAGTGTTGGGTGCCCATCCTGCAGCTGTGTCCAACCTGGCCTTGAACGCTGCCAGGGATGGGGCAGCCGCAGCACCCCACTGACCCCTCCATCGCAGCGCTCCCCTCCCTGCCCACAGTTCTCACCCCCGGTGCTGTACTCACCACTCACACGTGCTCATCCTCCCCGCAGTGGTGTGGGGGCTCGGGGGGCACAGGCAGAGGCAGCTACCCCTGATGGCAGCCAGCCGAGAGGGTCCCGTTGGGCTCCATGCTGCACCCAAGGCCACTGGGACGCGGTGGTGTGGCCCTGCAGGTGTGATCACAGGCACCCAGCCTGCCCCTGCGCCAGGCTCTGCCTGGGGGAGCCCTCCCCATAGGCAGCCCTTGCACAGCCGCAGCCTGCCCCTGCCGCTGTCATTGAGCTCAATGGTTTCATATGGGACTGCCTTGATGTGTGATTGATTGGAGGCTCTGGGCTCCAGCACAGCGCTAAAGGTGACCATGATGGGAACTGACTCTTCCCACTTTAATCCTCCTCCATGTTTCTGGGGTTTTAATCCATTAAAATATAGTATCTATAATATACAAAATAACCCCACCATAGAAGAAAGCAACCAAAAGGAGGGCACAGGTTCGGTGTCAGGCTCTTGCACTGGTCAAGCTCCGGCCAGAAAGGTCAGAAGCGTTGGAGACACCTTGGATTTAATGGTGCTTAAACGGTGCTTAAGCACTCACTTGGTGAGTGCTTAAATCCTGCTGAGGTTCAGGGGCATGGGCCTGAAGTGGGCCCCTTGCCTTGGCACTTGGGGGCATAATAACGAAGAGTTATAATAAAGGAATGGAGTGTGTTCATTTTGTGAGCAAAAAAAGCACTTTAAATCTTCCCTCAGTGCCTACAGACTTACTGTTTCTAAACGGTTTACACAGGGAGGAGTCTTCAGCTAAAGCTTTGATACGATGATTAAAGGAGCTGTAATAACACGGTTCATAGCCTGATAGATGGATTGATAATTAGAGCAAAGGATTATCCATCCTCTGGATCAGATTCCATCGTTTCCTCTGCATTTGTAATGGTAGTGGATCCAAACCTCCCCAGTCTCCTGTGAAATTCCACTTCCCCAAAGAGCTTGGGGAGTGCCAAGCTAGAAGCCTGCTTCTGGCTGGAATATCCCCTCTCCCTCATTGAACTGCCCTGTCCCCAGATACCCTTCTCAACCTGTCGGTCTGAAGGGGCTCACTGCCTGTGGTGGGGCAGGAGGTGCTGCTGCAGCAGATAGCAATCTGAGAGACGAGCTGCTCAAAAGGAAATTGCAACAGAAGACCCAACTCCAGCTACCGGGGGCAGCAGCTTCTCTGCTGAGATGGGCTGTGAGGAGATGGAGGCGATGATATGCACGAGCATGTTGAAATGTCTGGTTTGAAGATAACAGCTGGGGAGATGCTGGCAGCGCATGCACTTGTTTGCTGTATCAGGTAACCTGCTGCCAGCCTCCCTCCCTGCAGCCCCCAGCACATTAACCCGTTCTCAAGCACGATGCCCTGCTGCAGTCAAAGCTTGGGTACCGAGGAGTGAACTCAAGACATCCAAGCTCCATCTAAAGGTAAGCAAAGCCATGGGAACGCCTCAAGTTGTTCTAATCCCATTCCAGGCAGGCCTTGCTGCCCCAGGTTGAGGCTAAAGCTCAGGCTCAGTGACACGTGCCTGCAGTCACCCCTCGGATGCGGGCACCAAACCCAGCTCCCATCCTGATGCACAGCCGTGAGCGGTGGAATCTGTATCCAGCAGTGCTTTACCTGGGGGTAAAGAGCTCCCCACACCTTCCCTTCCCTGCAGGACTGGGGGGAGCTGGCCCTAGGGATGCTTGGGCAGGGTCTGGGTGGCCAAGCAGGGCTCTGGTGCTGCAGCCGCGCTCAGCGGTGCCGGATGCGGTCTCGCTCTCCCCCCATGGCGATGGCAGGAACGAGCCCACACGAGGTTCCATGACGCTTCAACTGCCTCATTTAAATACATTGGGGTGTTCCTCTGCTGTTCCGCGGCCATTCTGCTCTGGGGCTGGGATGCTCCGTCCCTATGGGCGCTTCTCCCTCTTGCTCCATCTTCCAGCAGCTTGGTGCTGAAGGCAGTTGAGCTCCATGGAGCAAAGTGGTCCTGAGGGCAGAGATCCACGCAGAAACTGCTCTTGGTGCTTCCATGTAGAAGTCTTCTATAGGGGTGAAGCACTGTAAATCATAAGGGACATGATCCCAGAGCCTGGCACCAAGGGGCATCCGCTGGCATTGAAAGGGCCTCCACATGCCCAGTTTTCTGCTTTCTGTGAATGTTTTGTGGTAGGCAGTAACTTGCAGCATCGCTCTGTAACGGCGGGATGTGAACAGCAGACCCAGTGTCATGGGTTCACAGCAGATCTGGGGAGCACTGGACCACTGCTCCATCAAAACTGATTCTGTAGCTCTCACACTGCGACGCTGTTTTGGTGCTGGCCATGCCCTGCAGCAGCTTGGCCTCTCCTGCACTTCTTTCCTTGGCAGGAGAGGGCCAAGAAGCAAGGGACCCCCCTTATTGCGGGGTTCCTGACCCATGGGGACAGTGCACGCTGGTTCTTAACCACCTCCATCACCACCACACTGCTGCAGCAATCAGAGAACATCCCAGCATCTGGATTAATCCCTCTGCACTTCCCAAGGGCAAGGAGAGAAGCACAATGTACTCCTCATGGTGGGTTCACCCCCAAGAGCTGCATCTTCAGTTGGGGTCCCCTGATGGGTCCCCACCACAGGTCAGTCTCTGCCTCTCACGCGCTGGGCCCATGGGGACCGCATCATCCATCACCTCCATCCCAGTCCCTCCTGCTTCACCCACAGCTTCAGTGCCACAGGTGAGCATTGAAGTGGAGCCTGTTTGCAGTTTGCATTGGGAAGCGGGTGCTGCTGCTGTGGGGGCTGGCTCTTTCAGTGGTGGATAAAGAGATGAGGAGGAGGAAGCAGCATGAGATGAAAGAGCAGACAGCGGTGTCACAGAGCGCTGCTCGGGCGCGATCTGAGTCACTCGGAGCTGATTGTGGAAGTGGCTGAGCTAAAGGAAATGTGAAACAAGAGCAGAGGTAGCACGGTTGAACCTGAAAGGAGCGCTCTTGGAATGAGTGCAGCGCCGTGCACACAAGGGGTGGGAGGCGCGTTTCCCACACACAGTGCATAACCTGCTTCATAACCTGCTCCTAACGTGTCCAAGGGCAAGTGTGTAAAGCCGGATGGGGACCATAGAGTCATGGAATCGTGGAATGGTTTGGGTGGAAGGGACCTTAAAGCTCCTCCAGCTCCAGCTCCAGCCACGGGCAGGGACCCCTTCCACTGGAGCAGCTTGCTCCAAGCCCCTGTGTCCAACCTGGCCTTGAGCACTGCCAGGGATGGGGCAGCCACAGCTTCTCTGGGCACCCTGTGCCAGCGCCTCAGCACCCTCACAGGGAAGAGCTTCTGCCTAAGAGCTCAGCTCAGTCTCCCCTCTGTGACACCCCCTTAAACACACTTTAGCACCGCTGCTGCCTGGGAGCACCACAGGACTATTCAGATTTACCCCTAAGAGTCTGGGGTTCAAAAGGACTTTTAAAAGAGCTAAATCCAAGCTAAAATAGATTTGCTGCTTCTAAACTTCTTCTTGCCTCTTTCTTTCATCTTCATAATTTAATGCTGAATCAACTGTCCCCAGTCTGCAGATTACGATGATCCAATTTGGGGGTTTTTCCACTAAATAAACTATTTTGCTTCAAGTACTGGCTTGTCTGTCCTATAGCTCCCACTCACGTTTATCTCCGAAGCCCAGCGACCCTTCAGGCTGGATTTGCTTACAGGATTTTTGGCTTATAAACCATGTCTGTGACAATCCACTTGCTGCTTTCAGCTGATCTTGGCACTTGCAATGGCTTTTGTTTTAGGAAGGGTTTGGGTTTCAATCCCTTCCATGAATATGTGATGAGGACAAGAAGGGAGGCTGGCACATTCAACTGCATCTTGTAAGGGAGATGGATAGCACGCTTCCAACACAGACCAGTCTCGCATCCTATGCTGGGATGTGGGTACCCGCACGGCCATGGGCAGGGTGAAGGAAAGGAGGATCGCTCCCCAGAAGCATTGAACCAGCTCAGCTGGGCTGAGTGACTCCAAAGGGTGAGGGCCCGGTGTCGGGATGGGGACCCCATCCTGCTCCATCCCACTCGTCCCCATAGGCTGCCCTGCTCCTCCACCACCAGCCCCTCGCCCACTAAAGCAAACTTGACCCCGGAGCGCCCGCTCTGCCTCGCCTGGGCCTGGCCAGTGATTCATTGCTGCCTCCCGAGCCCGGTGTTGACTCGCCGAGGGGCGTTATCGCCGCGCGCCGAGGCCAGGGTGTGATGTTGGTATAAGAGCAACGCCGCGGCACTGCCGCAGAGCCCGGCGCTGCTGCCACCCCGCTGCCATGAGGCACCTCCTCCTGCTCGCCCTGCTCTGCCTCTCCATGGCCACCAGCCTCAAAAGGTAAGGGGGGGTCCCCAGGGTGCTCCCGGGCTCTCGGAGGGGGGCTCTGCATGGCAGTGATGGATGAGGCCCCCCAGCACAGACACCCATGTGGGGACCACGCGGTGCCTCGCTGCTCTGCTCCCATCAGTCCAGCAGCTCCATGGCCGTCTCCACCCCCTGAGCAGACCCAGCAGCAGCAGTGGGCTGCAGGGTGAGGTCTGTAGGATGAGGTCTGTAGGATGAGAGGATGAGGTCTGTAGGATAAGGTCTGTAGGATGAGGTCTGTAGGATGAGGTCTGTAGGATGAGGTCTGTAGGATGAGGTCTGTAGGATGAGGTCTGTAGGATGAGGTCTGTAGGATAAGGTCTGTAGGATGAGGTCTGTAGGATGAGGTCTGTAGGATGAGGTCTGTAAGATGAAGGATAAGGTCTGTAGGATGAGGCCTGTAGGATGAGGTCTGTAGGATGAGGTCTGTAGGATGAGGTCTGTAGGATGAGGTCTGTAGGATGAGGTCTGTAGGATGAGGTCTGTAGGATGAGGTCTGTAAGATGAGATCTGTAGGATAAGGTCTGTAGGATGAGGTCTGTAGGATGAGGTCTGTAGGATGAGGTCTGTAGGATAAGGTCTGTAGGATGAGGTCTGTAGGATGAGGTCTCTGCAAGCAAACAGGCAGAAAACACCAACATAGAAGTCCCCTTGGCCCTTGTCTCCCCTCCCAGCCTGAAGGTCCTTCCCCATCAGTCACATTGAGCTCCTGGCCATGCTATGGCTGTGAGCAGGCCAGCACTGGGTGTCTGAGCTCTCCTGCCAGCTTTGCCCTCAATCTGCTGCCTCCTAAAGCAGATCACATCCCTGCACCGCACTCTGTTAGAAAGCATCACATGGGGGATACTGGACCCGCACCGCATGGGGGATGCTGGACCCGCATCGCATGGGGGATGCTGGACCCGCATCGCATGGGGGATGCTGGACCCGCATCGCGTGGGGGATGCTGGACCCGCATCGCGTGGGGGATGCTGGACCCGCATAGTGTGGGGGATGCTGGACCCGCATCACTTGGGGGATGCTGGACCCGCATCACTTGGGGGATGCTGGACCTGCATCCCGGCCGTGCTGGGACCCCCAGGGCGGGCGCAGGGACCGGGGGGGGGTGACCAGGACCGTTGCTCCCGCAGGGTGACGCTGAGGCGGCACCGCTCCCTGCGGAAGCAGCTGCGGGACCGTGGGCAGCTCTCGCACTTCTGGAAGGCGCACAGGCTGGACATGGTGCAGTACAGCGAGGACTGCGCTGCCTTCATGGACACCAACGAGCCCCTCATCAACTACCTGGATGTGAGCCCCAAAACCACCTTAGTGCGCAAGGGGGGTCCCCAGTGCCCGAAGGCTTCCCCCCACCTCCCTCCTGCTCACAGAGCACGCTGCAGGCGCTGTCCTGACATGCTCCTGCCTGCGCCTTTGTGCCTTGGAATGCGGCGATGACAAGGGACAAGGGAGCACATTCACAGCAAGAGCTGCCTGTGCACCCCCGAGCCCGCAGGCACACAGCAAGGAGAGAGATCCTCCATAGCTAACACACACCGCATGCATCAGAGAGCACCCCATCACAAAGGACCACACCAGGTCTATCCCATTCACCAGCAGCAGGTCCTGTCCCCAAAGCCCCTGCCACTCTCTGCATCCCGGTGATGAGGGTTCCCTTGGGAGCCCAGCAGGAAGGTGATGGCCCCTGCACCAACCATCCTGCCTTGTTGACCCTTATTTGCCTCCTTTACTTCACTTGGCACCATGTGACAGTGCCCTGGTGCCAGCCATGCCCCACACTGAGCCCATCCATCCCCTCCAGACATCCCAGCACAGGCTCCCCAATGGCTAACGGTGCTTTGTGCTGCTCTCTGTGCTAGATGGAGTACTTTGGGCAGATCTCCATCGGGACCCCCCCCCAGAACTTCACTGTGGTCTTTGACACCGGCTCCTCCAACCTCTGGGTGCCTTCTGTCTACTGCGTCAGCAAAGCCTGTGGTGAGTGGGGGCTCCCTGACCAGCCTGCAGTGGGGTGACCCCAGTGAAGCCATGGGGTCAGCAGCACACAGGGATCTTGGGGGAGCTCCCAGCCCAGCCCAGCTCTCCAAGGCACACACAGATAACACAGACCCGGGGTTGTTTGCTCAGGCGCGGGTGGCAAATCCCAGCCCCGGGACCCAGCACCATCAGCCTGGAGATACGGGAAGTGCTCGTTGGGCCATTCTGCTGGGAGAGCCTTTAAACAAACAAGCGAAGATGATAGCACACAATGCAGCTTGTGAGCAAGGGGCCGGAGGCAGGGGCAGGGCCGGCACAGGGAGCGCTGATCAGAGCATCACAGACCCATAGAATGGGTTGGGTTGGAAGGGACCTTAAAGCTCCTCCAGCTCCAACCCCTGCCACGGGAAGGGACCCCTTCCACTGGAGCAGCTTGCTCCAAGCCCCTGTGTCCAACCTGGCCTTGAGATTTAGCCCAGCTCTGGTCCATCCTCCTACCATGTGCAGTGCCCCCAATGCTGAACTGTGCCTAGGTAGAGCCCTGGTCCAGCGCTTGCGACTGTGACTCCCTTTACACTCCAGAGGGAGGAAACTCTGCTCCACGTCTGGTCCCTGCCACCGGCCATGGGGAGGGCTCCAGGCACTGTGGCAGTGCAGGCACACAGCATTCCCACTGATGGCTCCCATCCCTTCCCCAGCCAAGCACGCCAAGTTCCAGCCATCGCAATCCAGCACGTACCAGCTGGTGGGGACGCCCTTCTCCATCCAGTACGGCACCGGCAGCTTGACGGGGGTCATCGGATCCGACCAAGTGGTCGTGAGTCACCTCTGCTCCCTCCTGCTCTGCACAGCACCCCTGGGGCTTGCCCGCGGGCTCAGCATCACCGCTGCTCCCCTCGCTGCAGGTCGAGGGCCTCACCGTGAGCAACCAGCAGTTCGCAGAGAGCGTCAGCGAGCCGGGGAAAGCCTTTGTGGATGCTGCGTTCGACGGCATCCTGGGGCTGGCATACCCCTCGCTGGCCGTGGGCGGCGTCACCCCCGTCTTCGACAACATGATGGCTCAGGACCTGCTGGAGCTGCCCATGTTCTCCGTGTACCTGAGCACGTAGGGACCCGGCTTTGCTCCGGGATGCGGCTGAGACGCGGGCGCTGCTTCGGGGGGACAAAAAGCAAAATGGGTCACTGAGAGTGAAGGGATTTTCACTGGGGAGTCAGGGATGGGTTGGGTGGAAGGGACCTTAAAGCTCATCCCACGGGCACGGACCCCTTCCACTGGAGCAGCTTGCTCCAAGCCCCTGTGTCCAACCTGGCCTTGAGCACTGCCAGGGATGGGGCAGCCACAGCTTCTCTGGGCACCCTGTGCCAGCACCTCAGCACCCTCACAGGGAAGAGCTTCTGCCTGATACCCAACCTGAATCTGCTCTGTTTTGGTCCCATGCTGAGCATCACGGGCTGCAGCAAGAAAAGGGATGACCCAAAGCATTTGTGGGAAGCAAGTGGCTACAAATGCACTTCTTTAGGATGAGGTGTGCAAAGGAAAAGGGAGGAAATCCCTCATTTCTCCTCCTCCTTCCTCCAGGAACCCGGAGTCATCCCTGGGAGGGGAACTGCTCTTTGGTGGCTTCAACCCTTCCCGCTTCACAGGGACCCTCAACTGGGTGCCGGTCACCCAGCAAGGGTACTGGCAGATCCAGCTGGACAAGTGAGTGCGGGGCAGGGAGGGAAGGGCTGCGCTGGGGCACAGGGGCAGGAGGAGTCCTTCCTGCTCCTTCTCTCCCTCCTCCTCCACCAGCGTCCAGCTCGGGGGGGCAGTGGCTTTCTGCACCAACGGGTGCCAGGCCATCGTGGACACGGGCACGTCGCTCATCACGGGTCCCACCAAGGATATAAAGGAACTGCAAAGCTCCATTGGTGCCACTCCTGTGGATGGGGAGGTGAGAGCGGTGCTGGGGAGCGGAGGGGGGCAAAGCCCTGGGACCCCCTTGCCCTGTGGGGCAGCAGCGCTGAGCTGCGGCGGTTTTGCAGTACGCTGTGGAGTGCAGCAGCCTCAGCGTGATGCCGGATGTGACCTTCACCATCAACGGGCTGCCCTACACGCTCAGCGCCCAGGCCTACACCCTCATGGTACGGCTGCAGCTTCAGCACCCCCAGTGTGCCGGGGGGTGAGGAGCTCCATGCTCCATGCACGGGACTCGCAGTCACCATTCCCACGTGTTTCCATGGGGGTGTGTGCCCAGTTTCACACTTCTCCTTCCAGGAATACAGCGATGGAATGGCCTTCTGCACCAGCGGCTTCCAGGGCATGGACATCCCCCCTCCCGCCGGGCCCCTCTGGATTTTGGGTGATGTCTTCATCCGCCAGTTTTACTCCGTCTTCGACCGTGGAAACAACCGAGTGGGGCTGGCGCCCGCTGTCCCCTAAAGCTGAGCACCCCTGGGCAGGATGGGAGCGGAGCCTCAGCAGGGCTGGGGCTATCAGTGAGCCTGGAGGTGATGAAGGCACCAGGGGCTGCAGCTGGAGAGCGCAGCAGAGGATGCCTTCAGCATCGCTGTGATCTGCTTTGTGGCTTCTCTCGGAGGGGGTTTTTAAGCACGTGCCAATAAAAGCTTCCATAAACCAAACCCTGCCGTGCTCGTGTTGTGATGGGCAGGATTGGAGCAGAAAGGTCAAACCTTGGCTGGGATTTCCACATGGGCAGAAGAGGACACTTTGCCCAGGTAGAGCAGAAAGGGGAAGGTGATGAGGAGCCTGGAGAGGCCCTGGGGCTGTTTCTGAGCCGCAAACCTGCAGGAACAACCAGTGACTTCCAGTGAAATCTGCTCTGATCCTTCGGGGAACTCACAAAGACAACGTGGTTGTGGGTGCTTGGAGCCGGAGATGGAAAAGCAGCTGCACAGCTCTGCCATAGGGATGGGTTAGGGGCTTGTGGGGGGCTTTGAGGGGCTATGAAGGGAATGGGGGCCTGGGTGTCTGGGGGGGGGCTGCTGTGACCTGCTGCCAGTGCAAGGGATGCAGGAGAAAGCAGAAGCAATCACAGCTCATGAGTGATGCATCCCGAGGCACACGCAGAAGGCAGCGAGAAAGGGAAGCACAGAGCAGGGTTATTTTTATCTGTGCCTCCATATCCAATACTGAATGAGGCCCTGCAGTGTCTGCAGCTGAGGGTGAGGTGTTGGGGTCCCCTCCCTGGCTTTGGGGCTGCTGCATCTTCCCCAGAGCGGAGCAGGCTTTAGGGCTGGGTCTGAGAGTGCTGGGAACGGAGATCTGGTTGTAAACGCTGTGGTTTGCAATAGGAGGAAATCTCTGCCTTACTCAGGTATCGATTGTGCCACTGACCAGCGTATGGCTTCTGAAACCGGTTCCTCTATCGACTTCACCCCAGCTGCGCGCTCCCCAGGCAGCACTGGAAGATAAGGTGCTGGGGCTGCTGGACAAAGGTCTCCTCTCCCTCTTGGAGCTTAACTCTTAGCACACCAAGGTGCTGCTGGGCACCAGCCCATCACCGAGGCTGTAGGCAGCAAAGGAGCATCCAGCTCCCTCAGCATGACAAGGACCACTCAGTGCCTCCAGGCCTGGACTTGACCAGGACTGCTCAATGCTATTGGAGTCCCACAACATCCAGAGTCACCTTGGCAGATCTGGGGCATCCTCTGCATCCCTACACCCACACATGATAGATGCTCAGAGGATGCTGCTCCAGCAAATACTGAGCATTCCAATAGGGAGCAACTCATCTACTGCAGAGGTGGCTAAAACCCATAGGGAAGTTTAGTCCTTCCAATGCCTTTTGCTTTCTTCCCCTTCCCTCACCATCACGGCCCTGCAAGCCTCAGGGCTTTGCCCGTTCCCTCCTCATCCACATGAGCCTGCAGTCTCCAGCCCGCGTTCACCATCTCCCAGCTGCGAGGTCTTCCTCATAGTCACAGGGCACCAACCCCACGCTCCTGTGACTCGGTGATGCACCAGGGCAGGACTGGAGCTGTGGTTGCAGGAGCTGCTGAGCAGGGTCTGGGCCATCACCTCCTCTCCACCGCGGCTCCCGCTGCCTCCATCTGGGTGCCGCTCGCACCAGGAGCAGCGACAAGAGCGGGAGCTTTGGGAAAATCCCTTTTCTTGTGAACCCAAGCAGAAGCCGGAGCCGGAGCTGGGCTCCCCGCTGGGTGCAGCCCCTCCCGCCCAGAAGCAGAAGTGGCTGCAGGCATCAGCTCAGCAACGCGACTGCAAACCCCATCTGCAGCAGCGAGGAGGGACGCGATCGTCTGCCCGGGTGAGCAGCCTCCATCCCGCCCTTGGAGGGGCACAAGGAGGGCACACGCAGGCAGGGGAGAGGTCGGACAGAGCCTGGCTGCAAGGGCAAAGGTGAAGCAGCCCGATGGGAACAGGCTGCAAACAGGGAGTAGGAGAGAGCTGCTCCAGGGAAACACCGGCCTTCACCCCCCACCGACCGGTGAGAGCAGCTCGGGAGCTCCTGCTCATCCCAGCCCCTCCCAGCGCCTGCCCTGTGGGGGACAAAACCAGACATTTCTGGCCAGACAGGTCCCGGCATCACGCGTGGGAAACGGGAGGAGAAGGATTCGTGCTGCTGAGAGCAGCGAATCTCCCCTTGGTCCCACGGGGGGTGCAAACCCGGCAGAACCGAGGGCAGCCGGTGCCAAAGCACGATCCGGGGCTGCGAATGAGCCTGCTCCCACCCTGCCCCTCTGCCGCCGGCCAAAGGAGCCCACAGCCCCCTCCAAGGGACCCTGCCTCTGGGGACCGAACCCCAGCCCCACCTCGCCCCCGCCGCGAGCTGTGCCCAGCTCCCAGAGCCTCTTATCCCATCCCTATGGGAGCAAGGGCCGGGGTGGCTCCCAACGGCTCAGCCCCCACCCCCCGCCCCGGGGCAGGACCGCGGGTCCTGGCTTGAACCATCCCGGCTCCGAGGGGAGCGCTGCGGGACCGGCGGCTTCTCGGCCCCTTTCTGCTGATGTCACGGCGCGGGGGGGGCCCGCAGCCGCCTTCCCCGGGCGGGAATCGCTTCCCTGGATCCTCCTCTCTCGCCTCTCCCCTCCCCGCGGGAGCGGCGCCCGCAGCCCCGGCCACCCCTCACACGGATGCCCCGGCAGGTGAGCGCAGCGCCCTCCATCCCCGCGGCCCCGGGAGCGGGGAGCAGCCCCCGGCAGGGAAAACCGGGCCGGGAAACTCCATTTTGAGTCGGAAGCTCCGGGAATTCCGGCACAAGGGGGGGGGGGGGAGTTTGTGTGCGCCGGGGATGATGCCCGCAGCCGGGATGTGGTGGGAGGGGGGAGCGGGAGAGCCTGGACCCCACAGCCCGGGCAGGGGGGAGCAGCGCGGGGGTGGCCAACGCATGCGGGAAGGAGGCAGGGATGAGGCTGTCACCGTCTCCATCCGCGCGGGCCAACGTGGAGAGGGCAGCCGGGAGCACGGGAGGATGCTGGTCCCCAGGGATGGCCGGGCACAGAGCACGGGGGACACCAGGGATGGGGATGCAGCTTTGGGGGAGCCTTTCGGGGTGCTCCCCCCATCCCTGGGCTGTGCTGGGGGCACCCAGGGGGTCCCAGACTCCTTTAATAAAGGCGCTTTTTCACAGCTCCCCCCCCCGGTGTGTGCCGGGTTTCGGGGGTGCGATGGCACTTCCGAGGGAGAGGCAGGGAATTGCTCACGGCAGCTCAGTGCTGTGCTCTGGTGCGGAGCGGTGGCGTGTCTGGACGTGCACTGGCACCTCAGGAGCCAGGCCCAGGCTGCAGCACGGGGAGTTTCTGCTCCCCAAACCACTGGGATGTGAGCACAGGATGGTGCTGGTTTGTTGTGGGCATGGGGATGGGCGGGCTGGGAGCAGGGAGAGGCCTTAAGGAGCCAGTGGGGGCTGGCCCATCCCTGCAGCTCCGTGACTCCCTCCTGTCCCACAGGGTCTGTCCATGGATGCCAGCAAGAAGGTGGATCTGAAGATAATCATCATTGGAGCGCTGGGGTAAGGGTGGCAATGGGAGGGAAGCACAGGGGAGCTTGGGGCTGTGCAGCCCCTGTTCTTGCTGCCGCCAACCCCTTAAGCCTGGCTTTGCAGGGGGCTGTAGCTATAGGACGAGGGGCAATGGGTTCAAACTGGAACAGGGCAAGTTCAGGTTGGGGATTAGGCAGAAGCTCTTCCCTGTGAGGGTGCTGAGGCGCTGGCACAGGGTGCCCAGAGAAGCTCTGGCTGCCCCATCCCTGGCAGTGCTCAAGGCCAGGTTGGACACAGGGGTTTGGAGCAAGCTGCTCCAGTGGAAGGTGTTGGAGCTGGAGGAGCTTTAAGGTCCCTTCAATCCAAACCATTCCGTGATTCTCTGTCCCTCCCCTCCCACCAGCGTGGGCAAAACCTCCCTCCTGCACCAGTTTGTGCACAAGACGTTCTATGAGGATTACCGCACCACGCTGGGCGCCAGCATCCTCACCAAGGTCCTCGTGGTGGACAACACCTCCCTGAAGCTGCAGGTGAGCGGTGGGCTTGGAGCCCTGCGCCCCACCGTGTCCTGATGTCCCCAGGTGCTGTCAGTGTCATGGGGCTGGATTCACAGGGCCTGATTTTCAGCATCCATGAGCAATCCCATCTGAGTTTAGGGGGCTCAGCACCCCCTGAAGCTGCTCCCCTGAGCTCACCGTGGCACAGGGCTTGTGATGTGTGTCTGTACCTGTGCCCTTCTCTGCCCTAGATCTGGGACACAGGGGGACAGGAGCGATTCCGATCCATGGTGTCGACCTTTTACAAGGGCTCGGATGGCTGCATGCTGGCTTTTGACGTGACAGACAGGGAGTCCTTTGAGTCCCTGGACAACTGGAGAGATGATTTTCTGGAGAAGGTCATCCCAAGGGAGCAAGATTTCCCCATGGTCGTGCTGGGGAACAAAATAGACCTCTGCGATCGGCAGGTACGGGTGGAGGAGAGAGTGGGGTGCGTGGATTGGGACACCTTGGTGCCCTAATGCTGGTCCTTGCCCTGCAGAGCCAACCTTCTTCCTATGCTCTCATGAAACCAAGGCTCTCAGGCAAGGAGCTGCTGAGCTCCCAGTGCTGCTGCCTCTTGGAGGGAATAAGCAGGGCCCTTTGCAGCAGGGATTGTGCCCAGGAATGAAGCATCTCAGCTGCCCGCACTGCAGCATCCATCCATCAGTGCTTGGGTGGACATCGGGGTCCCCTCCACCAGCTCCGCTGCGGGCTGCGAGGTGGCTCCATCCTCCTTTCCCGCAGGTATCCAAGGAGATGGCCTCAGCCTGGTGCAAGGAGAAGGACATCCCTTACTTCGAAGTCAGCGCCAAGAACAACATCAACGTTGCAGAGGCTTTCGAGACCCTGGCAAAGCAGGCGCTGGCAATGGTGAGCCCATCCTCCGTGGCAGAGCATCCTCCTTTCACAGCGTGTGGGAGAGCCCCAGGGAAGAGACCCCATCAGTGACTGAGTGCTTAAAACAGATCCTAAATCGGCTGGGGAAAAAGCCAGAATTGTCCTTTCTCCTTGCCCACGTGTGGCCCTGAGCAGCGCTCCAGCACTGTCCTCTAGTGGCCGTCCCATGGGGACCTTCGTGTCCCCACACCAAGCGAGCTCCTCCAGGCGGCTTTCCCATAGGTTTTGTGTTCAGCAGTGCATCAGACCCGCAGCTCTGCTGCCCAGGCCCTCAGCCCGGCTCAGAGCTGCCCCCTTCACCCTTTCTCCTCTCTTTCTTCCAGTACAAAGGGATCTTTGAGAGTTACTTGACTGACTCCATCAAACTCACGCCCAACGACAAGCCCAAGAAGAGCTGCTGCTGACCCCGGGCAAGCACAGCCCAGGCGGGCCGGACCCCACGATGCCCATGGCCATCAGAGGCTGCCCAGGCCGGGACCCCATCAGTGACCACTCAACACACTGGGACCGGCTGCTTGCGCATCCCAGGCCTTGCTGCTTCCCACCTCTCCGGAGCTGCTCTCCCGATGTTCCCCTTGATCCGGTGACCCCCCTGTGGTGACGGTGCCAGGGCTCTGCTCCAATGCCTTCCCATGGCCCTGCTGCTCACCCTTCCCAGCGTGTGGATCAGGGGCCCTGCACCATGCACGGTGCTCACGGCGTGTCCTGCGGGGAGAAGCACGGCGCAGGTCTGAGCCCAGCCAGGTCCCCCCCGGGCTCAGCCGCTGTGGATGCAAGCACTGCGTGCCTCGGTTTCCCCTGCTCCCATGTGGGTCACCCCTCGCCTCACTGGTGAGGAGCCTCAGGGAAGCCCTTTGTCAGGGAGCCTTTTTTTAGGGAAAAGAATTAAATCGTTCATTTTTATTTCTAGATACCCACTTTATCCATGCACGCCTGTGTATGGGTGCGCCCTGCGGCCAGGGCTCTGCACAGAGCGGTTGTGCAGTGGTGGCCAGGGCTGGCTGTCAGCAGAGGGAGCCCGTTGGGAGCTGAGCTCAGCACCCGCTCCCCTTCTTCCATCCATCCTTCAGGAAGCTGGGGCTCGCCCCTGTGGCCGTTCCCCACGTCCCTGGGGCTGGATGGAAACAGTTTGTGTGACTTTCCCCTGCCAGGGACGCTCATTTAGGCCTGGCTTAAGCACAATCAAGAGGGAGCAGATGCCATCCATCACCCTCTGCCTCGTCCTCCACCTGTCCATGGCAAATATTGATGCTTCTCCTTCAAACCCATCCCATGGGCACTGCTGTTGCCGTGTCCCCGCTGCAGTGAGTGTGCACATCGGGGCCATGCGGGGCCACGGGGCTGCGAGCAGCACGTACAGAGGACCAGGGGCTGTGGCCAGGCCCCTGTCAGCCAAACACATGCTGAGGTCAGCAGCGTCCTGTGGGGCACCAGCCAGGGGATGCTCTGCTTGGAGCAGCTTCCACTGCTCCTTGAGGTCAATGGGCATTAAGCAAAGCCCTGCAGAGCTGCTGAGTGCTGTGGAGAGGGTCCTGAGCACAGGGATTGGAACTGGGTGAGCTTTAAGGTCCCTTCCAACCCAACCCATTCTCTGAATGATGGCTCTAGGTGATGCCCAATGGCCCTGTCAGGCAGCCTGGCATCCCAAGCTGGCTCCTGGCCTTGTGCCACCAGCACCCAGCAAACCCCTGCCTAAACCCCCTCTGAAACAGGCAAAGCAGCTCTTTCATCTGGAATCTGGCTCCTGATCTCTGACCAGGGGCGACAGGAGCTCCACTGAAGCCATCCTGCCTTGAAAGCGTCTTCTGCAGACCCTGACCTCAGAGCCATGAATAATGAGACCTTTTATTTCAGTGACTTATCTCCCATCACCCAGGTTTGAGCGTTTGGGCCTTAATGAGTTGCCCAAGGCCACATAGCAGGCGAGGGAACTAGCACGATGCTCCAAAGGGACCACGTTCGCTTCTCACCCACTGCCCCCCTGCTCCCATGACTCTGCACCACCTTGCACGAACCCCGGTGTCAAGGAGGGGGAAGCTGTTCCCGAGCTCCTCCTCCCTCCTCCACGCAGGTCCCACATTTTTAGGCTGAAAAATTCCTTTTTTTTTTCAGATTGGAAAACCTCCCTTTCCTGGAATCCGATTGTTCCAGTGAAGAAGCCTGATTTTGCCTGGCTCCTCACTCAGAATGGGCAGAAAGCCTGGAGGGAGGGGGGCAAGCAATGAGTGTGGGGGGAGGCAGAGCCTGGATTCCAGGCGAGCGGGATGCTCGGAGCCCGCGGGCCGGGGGGACCCCGCTGCAGTCCCTGGGTGCTGCCGAGCCCCATGCGCATCGCTGGGCCCTGGGCAGCCCCTGCTGAGCGCACGCGTGCTCCCCGCTGCAGGCACCGGGATAACAGCGCTCGTCCAAGGGCGCCCGAGGCAGAGCCGGGATGCGGGACCTCCGCGCCCTGCCGAGCACAAACAGCCCCGTGTGCGCCCCGCGATGCTCTGCGGGGCTGCCCCTCTGTGCGCAGCCTCCGCTGGGGGTGATGTTTGCTCTGGGGGCTCCAGAGGGAGATCAGGGTCAATGGGGCTGGCTCCAGCCAACAGAACCCGCTCTGCTCCTCCAGCAAGGGTGCCCGACCCGGCAAAGGCTCCGCTTCGGGGATGCACCCGTGCGCTGCGCTCATGGTGATGTGGTCCAGGGCTCTCCAGTGAGGTCTCCCTCTGAAGACAAGGGCCAGCACCAACGAGAGAGGGCTCATTCCATAGACCCATCAGGAGGAGAACCCTTCCCTTGCCTTTGGAGACGTTTCTGCAAGGCCAGAGCAGGTGAGACACAGCAGTTCCCTCCCTCAGACAAGCAGGAAGCTGCAGTGCCTCTCCCCAGCTCTGAGCTCACACCATGAAACAAACCTCATGAAACATCAACGTGGGGCTGAACCACAGGGGCAGCTCTGAAGCTCCCAGCACCTTTCAGCATCCCAGCGCTGATGCTGGTGCTGTCAGTAACCCTGCCGTGTCCCTTCAGGACATCGTGTTCCCTGCTGCTGCCCTGATAAAGCTGCTGAGCCCGGTGCCAGCTCAGACCTGCAGCAAAGGGAAGTGTTAGAAGTTGCCGGCTGCCTTTCAAGTGGGACCTGGGTCTCCATCTCCTGGCACCGCTCTCCTGGGAACAGCCGTGACCAGCCCAGGACAAGGATCTTATGCTCTTCCCCGTGAGGGTGCTGGGCGCTGGCACAGGGTGCCCAGGGCATCCTGCAGCCCTGCTCCAGCAGCGGCCTCCTCGTTCCTGTGGGAATCTGGACCCCAAATCCCTGCTTTCCCTTGTGGCTGAGGCACAGCCCTGACCTCGAAAGCTCCTGGGGGATGGACACACAGGGAAGCAGCGAATCCAGCCCAGAGCCCAGCTCCTGCCCATGCCCGCGGCTGCATGAGCCCTGTTTCCTTGGCAAAACCGAAAGCAGCAGCGGCTCCGGCTGCAGGTCCGAGGGAGGGGGGAAGAAAGGAGGAGGAAGGGAGGGAGGAAGGCTCCGTGCAGGTCCCAGCACCGTCAGAACCCCTCTGCCCCGGGGCTTGTGCTGCCTCTCCCCTCTGCCTCTAACCTCAGGCTTCCAAAGCAGCTTTCTCATCGTTTCCAGCAGTAAATTACCCCTGAATTATTGCCCTCATTAAGTGCAATTTATCTGCTAATATTAATCATCTGCAAATAAATCCACACATTCCAGCACTCGGTATGCGCTTATCGGAGCCCAGATAAACAGCTCAGCAGTCCCTGCACCCAGGGCTCCGTGCTTGACTCCCAGGAGTCCCTTTGGTGTCTTCCCATCTCCCAGAACTTCCCAGCTTCCTGGGCAGCCCCGGTGCTCCCCAGGCACCATCCATGCCCTGTCGGTGGCCACATCCCAGCAGAGCGCTTTGGGCCACCCATTCGGCCGGAGCAGAAGGAGGTGGCATCGGGGTTGTGTTTATGGATACAGCAAGTGGAGTTTGACCAGGACTGCACCTCTCATTGCAAGACACTCCAAAGGACCATCAGTGCTGTACGGGGCTGACTGTCTGCAGAGGGCAAGATCTTGCATCTCCCCGATCACACCCTCTGGGACTTTGGAATAGCAGCTCTTGCAATGGGAGCCTGTCCCCACACAGCAGGATCTGTCCCCATGCAGCAGGAGGGACACTAAGGTTTGTAGGGCACAGAGCAGCTTGTGCAAGGCAATGCCCCAGCCCAAGCATCACTGGGTCCCTTTGGCCACGTTGGTTTTGCACCCTGGCGTAACTGCATTTACTGCGTGTTGGCCAGGGAGCAGCGACGTCCCCTTTTGCCCTTTCTCCATCCTTTGTGGTTAGGATGGAAGCAGGGCTCTGCGGTCCAAGCACAGACACTGCTCTCAAACTGGTCATTCACCCTCTATGCCCCAGCCACCTGTGCAGCTCCACAGCTCTGCCCACATTGGAATGTCAGTTCGGGAAAGAGAGGGGGGGAAAAGGTTCCATTGGTGGAGCTCTGCTAGGAAAAGTGCCAGCTCAAAGGGGGGCAAAGAAGTCCCTTTTAGCATTAGCTGCTGGTCCAGGCAGTTTAGCGCTGCCAGCATCACCTCTGCAGCAGAGATGCTGTTTCCCCTCTTCCTGCGGTGCCTTGTGAGCAGGACCCCTGTGCCTGGCACCTTTGGGTGCTGGTGCTGCCAGGATTTGCCCCGTGACAGGGACCGCGCTGGGCTGGCCCTGCCATGTCACACGCTTCCGTCTCAAAGGGCTCCGTGCGTATCAGGCTGCCCTTTAAAAATCACACTTGATAGGGGTTATTAATGATATTTACAGGATAAGAGCTTGGCAATGATTACCTCTGTGAGAGCAATGAATCAGCCCCCTTTCCTCTGCCACCCTCCGGCAGGGTGTTCCTTTGGCATGCTCCGGCACAGCGACTGATTGCCGGAACATGAGGTTTCTTGGCAGTAACTGCTGATGCCTTCTACATGCACAAGGTACCAGAGATCAATTCCTTCTACAGCATGGAGCTCCTCACACGTTCCTTCTAGCGGCCTGGTCCTTTGGTGACGTCCCCTGCTGATGTCCCTATTCCATCTCATCCTCTGCAACATCCGGACTGGTACCCAGTTCCTGCGCTCCTGCATCCCTCTAGGAGGAGAGGAGACCACGAGCCCAGGCACAGCTCAGCGCAGTGGTGCCAGTGGAGGCTGGGGACACAAGGGAACGGAGCCCACACCTTCCACATGTTAAATAGAATCATGGAATGGTTTGGGTTGAAGGGACCTTAAAGCTCATCCAGTTCCAGCCTCCTGCACGGGCAGGGACACCTTCCCCTAGACCAGGTTGTTTCCTCCTCTAGTGGAAGCTGTCCCCACTCGGCCAGGAAGCGACTCTTCCCCATTCCTCTCATCCCTTTGAACCTGGAAATCAGAAAGAAGCTGCTTTCCACTGCCAATCCCCTCCTCAAAGCCCGAGCTGCGGGGTCCGGCGCTGGCACAATGCTCTCCATTGTCCATCCCGGAGACAGAGCACAAAGGCCGGGAGACGCTGCCCACCTCATCCAGGCCAACAAAAGCATCTTCTCCCAGCCCGGGTCCAAAGCAGGTGAGGGAGGGGGCCGGGTGATGGTGAATATGAGCTATTGTGACCGGGAGCACAGAGCGACCTGCAGAGGTGATCAAACGGCCCAAGCCAGCGCGGGAAGGGGTGGGGTGGAGGGGGACATCCAAAAAAGCCCTTGTCCCTCTTCAGATCTCCCCTTATCTCCCCGACTATCTCCGGGGCTTAGCCTGGGTGCACTCGCTGGCAATTACCTGCCCCAAGCCAATCAGGCGCCGAGCACAGCCCTCGGTCCCCTTCACCGGGGTGGTTTATAAATGACTCACGGGCTGCTTGGAGCCCAGCCCTGGCGCAGCTCCTCGCCTGCACCTCTCGCCCCATCGCGGCTCCCCCCCAGCATCGGCCCTTCCTCGGCGCAGGTAACCCCGCTCCAACAATCGTGCTCTTTGTCTGGGTGGGCGTGGGGGATTTGCACAGCTCCGGGTGGGAGCTGCACTATTTGGAGAACTGGTACTTCTATCCCCCCCCCCCCGACCCTTCTCTTTTCTCCCTCCTTTTGCAAAAGGGGGGTTTCCAGCAGCAGATTTACTCAGGAATTAGCAACACCAAGGATCCAAGGGCGTGATTGATGGAGAGAGGCTGGAAGAGCCAAATGCGTGACTTCATTATTGCTAGAATAAATCCTGCCATCTTATCCTGGCTGGCTCCTGCTGCGCTCCGTAAAGGGGGGAGTGCCTGGGATAGGAGAGGCAATACCAAAGACAGAGCATTTATATATATATATATAACATCTATATTAATATATTGATGTACCTCTTCACACAAGTTTTATAGGTTTATATAACATTGATATATATGTTTCTGGGTCCTTGTTGTCATCAGAACTTTCTGTGCTCGATGGAAAGTGGTCCCTGCCCCGAAGATGCTGCAGAGTTTGCACATACAGGCACCTGGAGGCAATGGGCGAGGAGCAGTGTTTGTGAGCTGGAATCTACCCTAGGCAAAGGGTCTCAGCTCCTGGTGCATGGGGGCATGTGCACATGCAACCAGATGAGGAAGGAGTGTTAAAGCTGGGAATGAGAAGTGCTCCCAGACTGAGCACAGCATCTCTCATTGCTCCCAGTGTCATTTCATGGGATGTTTAGGTCCCGTTTGGGCAGTGGCCCTCATGCACAGGTAATAGAAGATATCCCCATAAGCCTGCTCCACTGGGTAAACTGCTGCTCACGCAGCGGGGATGCTTCCGCTCTGCCCTGATAAAACTCACCCACACCTCATTTGTAAGCAAGCTGAAAACCTGGGGACCCGTCCTAATATTTCCCTTGGAGATAAGTCCTTGCAGTGCCATTTGTTGCTGGCCACACTCTTTTTCTGCCCCGAGCTGAAGATTTCCAGTACAGGAACACTGTCTCATCCTCGACCGCTGGGAAAGGATGGACTGGCTGACCCCAGAGGTGTTTTTCCTTCCCAAAGGAGCATTTGCAGCAGGCATCCTGGGTAAGTGCAGGAATGCTGCAGTCTGCAAACCTGGTAATTCCTTGGGATTTGCACTGCCCACCTACTCTTCAAAGGCAGAGGGCAAGGTCTGTGTTGGAGGCATGTGGGGAGCAGGAGGCTGCAATGGGTCCATCCCTAATCAAACCACACAAGGAACAGGCTCCATCACCCCTGTGTCAGTGCGGGGCAGATCCCCCATGCCCCCGGCTTGTGCTGCATTGAACAGCATACAGAGAGCTGCTGAATACAAGCATTTTACTCCACAAACACCCTTTGGCTTCACCTGCAGTGGCTGGCAGATGTCTGCAGATCTCATTATGCTGGTTACCAAGTGCAGAGCTAGTTTGGTTAGAAACTCGTGTGAAGTGGTACATCAAACATTGGCACCGGCCCAGCGACGGCAGAACAAGAGTCCGGCTCCTGCCCAGTGCCTGCGCTGGGCTGGGTCACTTAGAACCAGCAAAGAGGCATCTGCCCGATGGAAATCACCTACTGAACACGCCAAATATTTGATGTAAGCAAAGGGAGAACACACTGATTTAATGCCTGCCTGCCCCGCGGCAACAGTGCAGCAGTGGAGGAACTCGGCTGCTCCCAAAGGGGGATGCTAACACCGAGGCTGCAGCACGGGATGGAAAGGGGGGAGCTGGAGGGAAGCAGGGATGTCTCCTCCCTGCCCTGCACCCGTGGTGTGCGGATCCCTCCGTGCCTCCCCACGTCAGGCAGGGCCAGTTAACACCTCCCAGCACCCCTCTCCCTCCTTCTCCATGTCCCCCTCTGTCTGGAGTTCATTCCATCAGCCGTCATGACGGGTCCTTGCGTGCTGCTTGGGGTAAAATGGATTGAAACAGCTTTGCTTTATGAACTTTATGGGCTCTGGCATTTTGCCCTTTCTGATGCTAAAAGCCCTTCTTGGGATAGGATGTTTTCCATAACCGATCCGTCTGCTCGCCCAGCATCAGCCTCTGCTAAACCCCAGCTCCAAATGTGAGCAATCAATGTGTGGCACCGGGTGTGCTGGCTGCTCAGCTCCGGGAACAGCCACCGCTGCCCTGCTGCTGCCTCTTCCCTTCCCCACGTCACTGGGAAAGGTGATTTTACCTCTATGCTTGTGCCAGAAACATGGGATCCAGATCTGGCTTTCCCACTGCAAGGTGCAGATGAACCCTATTCAGAGCCAAAGGGAAAACGAAACTCAATTGGATCAGAGTGATTTTAGCTGTGAGGAAAGAGGTGTGGGCAATGGCTGAAGACACTAACCCCCAGGAACATGCTGGGGGTCCCCTTGTGTGGACCATCATCCACACTCGGTCCTGCCTGGTCCCTGGTGCCAGGAGGTCAGAAAGAGGGAACAACCGGGGAGCATCCAATAGAGGTGGATTACACAACATCCTCCTGCAAGCCCTGAACCGGCTGACAGCAAACCCTCCTCTTCCTCCTGCCTGTGTGCTCTGTGCACTCAGCCCCATAGCAGAGGTGTGAAAGGGGCAGAGCCCAGCAACGCAGCCGCCCTGCCCCGTGCCCCAGTGGGAAGCAGAGCGCAGGTTCCAGGGCAGGAGGTGACAGGTTCCTCGCTGACCTTGCAGCACTTGGGCCCTTTCACCGCCTTGCCCCAGGGCTTCCATGGCACCTGCAGCCGGAGCCGGGAGCGGGAGGCTGGGAATCGCCGTGGATTCAGTGCTGAGGGCACTGATTGCGGGGAGCAGGAGTCAAGACCTTGTCCTGGTGTCGCAACCGAACCCTTGCACCTGCGCTTGCTCGTGCAGGCAGACCTTGCCTCCTGGGGTAGGGGGGAGCTGCTTTTTACAACCGGTTCTTGGGCAACTTTGCTGGGAAAGAGGTGTTTTCGGCGAGGATTCCCCCAGGATGTGGAGGGGAGCAGACCTCCATCAGCCGAGCAGCAATCAGCAGACCTGTGTGTGCATTGCCTTGTGCAAGGAGAAGGGGGATGGAGAAGGGGCAGGCGAAGGAGGAAATGTTGTTTCCAGAGCACTGACTTTTGCTCCCTTAACTGTAGCAGAGGCATTCCCTGAATGTCCAGCTCTTGCACTGGGATCAATCCGGCCCCTTGTACCACATGTAAGGCAGTGAACAGATTGCTTCCCCACTCCCGCTCCTTGGTCTGGGGTCCCTTTTCCATGCCTATGCCAGCGAAGGCAAGCGGCTTTATGCCAGTGGCTCCTATCAGCACTAGCCAGAAACCTCAATGTGACTTTCCTCTTCCCAAACACAGCTATCACCAGCGCAGGGATGGAAGATAAGAGCTCAGTGAGTGCATGCGCAAGATGAACACTGGAAAAGGTCCATGCTTGGCATGCACAGGCTGCTTTGAGGCTGCTGGGGCAGGGGTCAGCCAGGTAGGAGCCCATGGGTCTCTTAGCTGATGATCTACTGGTACAGTACCTTTCACCCCCGTCATGCCCTCGGAGCTCAGCAGCTCTGCCTTCATTCCCTGCCTGTCCTCAGCCTGCCACAGTTTCTCAGTGCATTTATCACTGGGGCCAAACTTCACACTCCTCATGGGAATGGGCTGCCTGGAAAGCTTGGAAGAGGAGCTCTGCACGTGGAGCTCTTCCCCCAGAACTCGTCCTTTCATTGCCACACCATTGTGGAACTGAGCTGTGAACACCCTGCTCCCTGGCTCTCTGCTTCTCCCTCCATGCCCATCGCATTGCTCCAGCATCCTGCCCCGGCCCTGCAGCCCTGCTCTTATCCCACCACCACCAGCACAGCTGGCTTTGCCTTTTGTGCAAGGAGCAGTCCCGCAGCTGGTTCCCTTTAATTGTGAAACCTCCGAGGTTTAACCCGCTGTTTGATGTAGGGCAAGGCCAGCGATAAGCCAAGGCAAGAGCCTGACTCTGTCCGAGAGGCTGACATCATTAGCCTGTTTGTTTAAGATGGAATTTAATCATGGGGATATTTTCCCCTTGATACTTGCCTTGTTTATTATTTCCCCTGATTGCCAGCACTTTCGCTCAGCAGGGAAATTCATTAAGGCGCTGGGATAGAGCCGGCTGCTCCAGGCTGGCTGGTGGCAGGGAAGCGATGGAGCCCAGACAGAAACCAAGAGGGGCTTCTTGCCCCAGAACCTGGCGGGGTTCTCACCCTTCACATGCCTGTTGCTGAACCTCGACCTGGGCCACACGATGGAAACTGGCAATGGAGAGCAGAGCTGTGGGGCTGGGAGCTGGGAAAGGCTGGGTATGATGGGAACCTGCCCAGCAACGGGAGCGGGAGGCAGAGACAAGGCTCCTGCAGCCTGACGTGGGAAAAGCAGGGAATGACCGGTTATCAGATGGGCTCCCAGTATGGGCATCGGGACTGGGAAAGAGCCTGGGACACTGCTCAGTGTTGGCCTGCACCAATCCTCTGAGAGGTAAAGCTTGGGATTGCTCTTGGAAGGGTATCTCCAGCTGAAAGGGAGCCGCAGGGACTCCAGTGCCTGCAGAGGGCACTGGATTCAGCACCTGGTAATGCAGGAAGAGGGACACAGGATCATAGCATGGATTGGGTTGGACACGTCTCCTCTTTGCCTTAACTGCCCCCCAGGGACACACTTGGGTCTCTCCCAGAGCCTGGAATCAGAAACACAGCATTGCTGGAGCTGTTCTACAGCAAAGGCACCGGATTGCCCCCAGGATCAAGGCAGGAGTGGGGTCCATGACCTCCCTTTCGGATCCCATTAGCTCCTATTTGCATAATGATCCCATTGACCTAAATTCTCCCAAGTTTCAGGTGCCTGCATCATCCTTCCCTTCCTGCCCTGGGCTGCTGGGCCACTGCTCCCTGTTAGTCACATCTTCCAGCCCCTAGCCCGAGGTAACTGCTTATCAGCCAGGGCTGACCCTAGTCCTGTGGATGGGCATTTTGCCAGGGCACTCAGTGCCTTCACCGCCTTCAGCAGTGCCAGCAGAGGGGAGAGGAGGATCTCCCTCATTCAAATCACTGTGGGAGCTCTCAGCAACGGGGCTGTTGTTTCTTGGTGCATTCTCCTGCCTGAATCACCAGCTTTTTCCACCCCCTCTTCCACTCCTCTGTTGGGCAATGACCCACTTAGATACAAGCCATACCACAAATAATTACCAAGATCCCTGGTTTATACCTGACCACTTCCTTCCTCCACTCCCAGCCTCTCCAGACTGATTCTCCCACTTCCAGGGAATCGCTGGTCATAGTAAAATGAGGGTTCTGTGGAATTTACCCTCTTTGGTAAGACCCAGACACCAGGCAGGACTAGTGCATCCAGATATTCAGGCATCTTCCTCACTGGAATGAAACAGCAACAGTTATCCTTGCACACATCACTTCCTAGGCTTGTCCCCTGGCAAGTGAGGGACGGGATGGCTGCTGGATGCAAATGAGCTCCTTTGGCAGTGGAAATGAGCCCTCGGGTGGAAACTGCCTTTAGTCAGGACCTACTTTGCCTTGCAAAGCCCGGCCAACCCTGCTGGCAGGTGGGGAAACTGAGGCACGGGGAAGGTCAAGTGGTTTGCCCAAGGCAAAGAGGCAGTGACGGCGGAGCTGAGGCTGCCACCCCTGCTCCTGTGCTGCACAACCCAGGGCGCGCTCCGGTCCCCTTCCCGCTCATCAGCATCACCTCCAGGGAGCCGGGGAAGGATCCCAGTGCCGGGGAGCAGCAGCCCCTGGTGCCGGGAGGAGCCACTCCCAGGACCTGCCCCTGCGCCACAGGGAAACTATTTAGGGTGGAGATGTGTGGGGAGGGCTCGCAGGCGCTGGAGGTGTCCGGTCTGTTATAGCGCAGGTGGGGCCGGCTCCACTCACATTCCTGCCTTTGCTTTTCCCTCTTGTTCCGTGCCGGGAGCAGAATCCAATGATCCAGAGATGAACCAGGCCAGGCCTCGCTACGTCATCGAGCGTCCTGCCTATTCCCTCAGCCTCTTCGATGAGGAGTTTGAGAAGAAAAGCAGAACTTACCCCGTTGGGGACAAGCTGAGGAGCCTCTTCAGGTAACAGAGCAGGGGCTGAGCCGGGACCAGGCTCGCTCTGGAGCTGGGCTGCAATTCACCCCTGGGGATGTAGTTTCCATTTCCACCCTGGGAAACCTCCGTGATGTTCAGGGCTCGGGGGGATGAAAGGCACAGGAGAAATGCAGATCGTGTTGGAGCAAGTGGAGCTGGTTTCTCCCTGCTGGCAGGAACGGTTTGCACTGAGAGTGTTTGGGATGCGGGGGTCTTTTCCAATGGGGATGTCGGGATGAGGGGGGTATCCTTGTATCAGCTGCCTGATTAAAACCAGCACTGCCCTTCCTTAAAGGAAGATTAATAATTGTGCAAATAAAGATGAATAAACTGGCTGAGCACTGTCTTGGAAATCCAGCCCCATTGCTTGGAAGAAGGAGGCAGTAGCACAGGGAAGCAAGACCATACACGTTAGCTGGCAGAGACAGTGCATGTGCCAACCCAGAAGCAGTCTGGGCTTAGGATTTGCTGTGGGAGAAAGACTGAGGCATTCCTAGGATGACCCTCCCTTGCTTCCTGCCTTCTTAGTGCTCGTTTTCCCCGTCTCCTCCAGGTGTTCAGCATCCAGACTCAAGCTCATCCTCTTCAGCCTCTTCCCCATCCTCGTGTGGCTTCCCAAGTATAAAATCAAGGAGTACATCCTGCCTGATGTTCTCGGAGGGGTCAGCGCGGGGACGATCCAGGTGCCGCAAGGTGAGCTGCGATGACTCGGGGTCACTGAGGGGGGACGGCACTAAGCCAGCTCAAGGAGAAGCCTGCACAAGTCCAGTTTGGGGGGGATTAGCTGCCTTTATTGAAGATGTGCATGCACCTAAGCTCTGCCTCTGACCTCATTGTCCCTGTTGTCCTCTGTGGTGCCTTTCCCTGCCCTCCTTGGCCTCTTCCCACAGCACCTTCTTGGAGCTGGCATGAGTGTGAGCATGGCAAGGGGCTGACACCATCCTCACAGACCCATTTCCCTTGTGTTTTCCAGGGATGGCCTTTGCACTCCTGGCCAATCTGCCTCCTGTCAATGGGCTCTACTCCTCCTTCTTCCCGCTGGTAACATACCTCTTCCTTGGGGGCATCCATCAGATGGTCCCAGGTAAGAGTCTGCACAGCAACCGCCTGCACAAGGCAGTTAAATACTGGCTGGGCATACTCAGTGTGTTCCAGAATAGAGATGTTCGGGCATGTTTGGTCTGCCAGGGGTCTATGGGATCCCATATTCTGGCTGCACAGCAGGATCTCACCCCACTGACCCACAGCCGCATCCTGCCACGGGGCTGGTTGTGCTGATGAGCTGGGTGACTCGGTCCAAACGCCTTCCAGGACAGGATGCTCTCTAGAGAAAGGCACTGACATCACTGTGCTGTGCTGCAGGTACGTTTGCAGTCATCAGCATTATTGTTGGCAACGTCTGCAATGAGCTGGCTCCGGAGTCGGACTTCCAGTACTTCAACCACACCAGTAATGAGACCAGTGTGAACACCACAGCCCTGGAGGCAGCCAGGCTCGAGATCTCGGCCACCTTGGCCTGCCTCACCGCCATCATCCAAGTAAGGACTCGTATGGCTCCCACATGGTGTCAGCCACGCAGAGATGGTGGCAGGAGGTGCCAGAAGAGGCCCCACTTGGAGTGGGCGATGCCTCGGGTTTGGGGGGATCCCAGTTTCGGTGTGAAACCCTCCCGGAGCGGAGCAGGCTCCCACCAGAGGCTCCATGCTCCTGACACCCCCCTGTCTGTCCTGCCCTAGCTGTGCCTGGGATTCGTGCAGTTCGGCTTTGTTGCCATCTACCTCTCCGAGTCCTTCATCAGGGGCTTCATGACAGCAGCAGGGCTGCAGATCCTCATCTCCGTGCTCAAGTACGTCTTCGGCTTGACAGTCCCGTCTTACACCGGGCCCTTAGCTATCGTCTATGTAAGTGGGTGCCTCCCCTGCACCTCCTTCCCCAGTGACACCCCACCGCAGGCACCCGGGCAAGGGGGGCTTGGGGAGAAGGAAAGGGTGGAGAAAAGGGGAATACGGATGTCCCATGCTGCTGCCATTGTTTCCTTACAGTGTTATCTGTCTGTTAGCTTCCAATTAGAACCACTGAAAGGGGCCTGGGATTTGGGGAGAACATGAACTGTGCTTTACAGCAGGAGCCTTGCACAGTTGTGATCAACAGAAACCTTTCCTATGAGCAGCATTCCCCATTCCTGGGCTTTCCTGCATCTCCCATGGATGCGTCCTCCACTGATGCAGCTAGAACTGCATTTAAGTGGAGAGCACAGCCCCAGGGCTGCTTGCTGATCTCAGCAGCAGGGTTTCTAGTGCTTCCCTCACCCTCGTCACCTCTCAGGCTGTTTGCAGTGGATTGTGGTAACAAATGATCTCCATTCTGCTGCCCACGCTGTCCAGAGTCTCTGGCTCCCTTTGACACCTTCTCCTCTTCTTTCCCCTTTAGACATTCATTGACATTTGTAAAGGTCTGCCCCAAACCAACGTCGCCTCCCTGGTCTATGCCTTGGTCAGTGCTGTGCTCCTGATCATTGTCAAGGAGCTCAACCTGAAGTACATGAAGAAGATCCGGATGCCCATCCCCATGGAGATCATCATTGTAAGTGACACGTGAGCTGTTCCTTAGGTCCTGCAGGAGCCAGTCCCTCTCCTTACCTGACAGTAGAGTGACTATGATGTGGTCCTCACATGTCTTGGGCCATCCTCATGGAGGATACCTTTGATGCCCATCTCATCCCTGTTACACTGCACCTGCATCCTGGTGATGCTGAGGATGAGGAACATAACTACTCATGGGGAAGGTCTCTCCTTCCCTAGCCCAAATCTGGTGCTAATGTTGCACTGTCAGCCCCAGGAGTACAGCAAGCTTAGTGCTCCTGAGAGACCTCGTGCTCCTTCTGCTCACTGCTCTCTTATCCCCTGTCCTTCCAGGTAATAGTTGCCACTGCCATCTCTGGCAGCTTTAACATGCCTGAGAAGTACGGCATGCCCGTTGTTGGGAAGATCAGCATGGGGTAAGTGCCTGTGCGGGTCTGACTCAACTTCCAGCTCATTTTCCTTCCTCCTCCTCCTCCTGCAGCCTTCCCTGCTGTATGACAGCCCCCTTCCAGCACTGCACCTCCTTACCCAGGCGCCGCCATCCCTCCGAGCTGTCCATGGGGTTATGGCATTCCCAAGCACCCGCTCCGCTCGTGTCACAGCTGCTTCCCTCCTCTGCCCCGCGCGCAGGTTCCCAGCACCAACGCTGCCCCTGGTGCACAAGTGGAAGGACATGATCGGCACCGCCTTCTCCCTCGCCATCGTGAGCTACGTGATCAACCTGGCCATGGGGAGGACGCTGGCAGCCAAGCACGGCTACGACGTGGACCCCAACCAGGTAACGCTTGGCCTGGGAGGACGCAGCCAAGGAGCTCTCAGGCGTGAAGGGAAAACCTCGCTGTGTGAATGGGAGGCTTTCAAACGCGCCCTGCTCCTGCAGCCCTGCTGCTCCCGTGCATGGGCTCACGTGGCAGCTTGCCATGGAGCGGGGAGAGGACATGGCAGATCCATCCGTGTGCACCGGAGAGCCTGCAAGGGGAAGGGAGCCTCAGGCTGAGCCCTGTGCTGGCAGAGGCTGCGTGCTTGCTGCTGTTGGAGCACAACGAGCACGTGTGGTTCTCACCAAGCAAAGACCTGGATTCCTGGTGTGTCACCCAGATACTGCGGGAGGCAGGACATTAAATAACCCTCTTTTGTCATCCCTGGCACAGCGGCAGCTCTCAATAGCAGCCGCACATACCGCACGGAGCCCTGCCCTGCCTGCGTCAACTGATGACAACGTGTTGATACGGGATCGTGCTGCCGGGTCTCCCTGCTACAGCAGAGCCCAGCTCAGCTCTCAGTGCGAGGAAAGGGTCTGGCACACGCCACAGGGTCCCTTCCCCGGCCACGCGATGCCCAGGCTCAGGCAGCAGCTCTCCTGCTCACACCCACTGTGGCATCTCTCCTCTCTGATGGCCGTGTCCCTGTCTCCATAGGAAATGCTGGCCCTGGGCTGCAGCAATTTCTTTGGCTCCTTCTTCAAAATCCACGTGATCTGCTGCGCCCTCTCCGTCACTCTCGCCGTGGATGGGGCAGGAGGGAAGTCACAAGTGAGCATCTTCTCCTCTTCCTCGCCTGGACCACAGAGGAGCTGTGTGCTGCCGGCCTGGCATCGCCGCTGCGGCTCTGGAGTGCTCCAGGCTGCTGGGGTTAAAGCAGAGCCCCCTCCCTCCCAGCCCCATTTCATTCCCGGGATGATTCTCTGGATCGGCCATGCTGCAGGGCTGTAAATCCCAGCCTGGATTCCCTGCCCCAGCAGCCTGAGGGAGGGCTGGGGTTATCTGTGGGATCTGCAGAATCCTCACCTCTGCCTTGCTGCAGAGGGCAGTTATGCCACGGGCTGGAGCAGCAGGAGACAGAAGCCTGGGGGTTGGGGGGGTGCATTAGGAAGCCCCTGATGTCTCTGTATGCGATTCCTTTCCCCCTTTGCTGCAGGTGGCAAGCTTCTTTGTGGCCATGGTGGTGATGGTGACCATGCTGGCGCTGGGCATCTACCTCGAGCCCCTTCCAAAGGTAACGCACATCTGTGCACACAACGCGCTCCATGCACCCGAGGCAGGGCAGGGGCTTGCTCCAAACCCCCTGATGCAAACTGCTGCCAGCACCGGGTGCTCCTGCCTGTTTGCACTGAGGCTCTGCAGGAGAGAGCAGTGTGAATGATCCCACCCAGAGCCAAGCGGGATTCTGTGTCTGTCGCCCTTCCCATCCAGAGAGAGGGCTGGAGCAGCTCTGCCCTGGAGCCAGGCTGAGAGAGCTGGGCTGGGGCAGCCTGGAGAAGAGAAGGCTCCTGAAGGGGAGACCTTAGAGCAGCTCCAGTGCCTAAAGGGGCTGCAGGGAACCTGGAGAGGGGCTTGGGACAAGGGCCTGTAGGGACAGGGCAAGGGGAATGGCTTGAACCTGCCCGAGGGGAGACTGAGCTGAGCTCTTAGGCAGAAGCTCTTCCCTGTGAGGGTGCTGAGGCGCTGGCACAGGGTGCCCAGAGAAGCTGGGGCTGCCCCATCCCTGGCAGTGCTCAAGGCCAGGTTGGACGCAGCCTTGACTGATCCAACCCCATCTCCTCCTCAGTCTGTGCTGGGAGCCCTCATCGCAGTGAACCTCAAGAACTCCCTCAAGCAGCTGGCGGATCCCTTCTACCTGTGGAGGAAGAGCAGGCTGGACTGCGTGAGTGCTGGGCACGGGAGGCAGCGCAGCCGCAGGGCAGAGCCTCTGGGGAGCAGGAGGATGCTCTCAGCCCCCCGTGGTGGGATCTTGGCTCCCAACCCTTCAGCACCAAGGCCCGGAGCAGCAGCAGAGCCCAGCTGAGCACTGTCACGCTCAGCGCACGGCTCACAGGGGCCTGAACTATTCCCTGCTCTGGGTAAATGCCAATCAAGCGCGGGAGCCTGTTTGCCCAGAACTAGCCAAACCGGCCCTGCTCGGTGCCGCAGTCAGGGCTGCAGGAGTCACACAATAGCCCTGCAGGGTGAGGAGAGCCCTCGCAGTGATAAGGACTCGAGGCAGGGGTTGATGGATAAACCCAGGCAGGGGGTGAGGGGGGCGAGACGGGATTTGGAAGGGTCTGACATAAACCAACAGTGTCTGAAGGGCTCCCATGGAGCGGGACACGGAGCCAGCGACCTGCCAGTGCCTGGCACACGGCCTATGGGGGAAACGAGGAGTCCAAAGGGGCTGGACTGAGTCCAGAGCTGCCCCAAAGCAGTGTTCAGACAGGGATGGAGATGGGTGAGCAGAGCAGGCAGAGGGCTCACGGGGGTGGGATCAGGAGGGAAAGGCACCCTCCATCCACACATGGAATCATGGAATGGTTTGGGTTGGAAAGGACCTTAAGATCATCCAGTTCCAACACCTGTCACAGGCAAGGATGCCTCACACCAGACCAAGCCACCCAAGGCTCTGACCAACAAGGTCTTAAACACTGCCAGGGATGGGGCAGCCACAGCTTCTCTGGGTACCCTGTGCCAGCGCCTCAGCACCCTCACAGGGAATAGCTTCTCCCTTATCTCCAACCTGAACTTCCCCTGTTTCAGCACTAAGTGCAGGGATCCCTCACAGCCCAGAGCGGAGTCTGGATGGAGGGAAGCCCTTCTTGTCATTTATATGTACAATGCATGTGAATGAAGATGCTGACATCAAAATTACCCTGATTTCTCCCAGGTCAAAGTTAGGTTTTATCAGGGTTGAGGATGGGATTATAATAACCTGATGGTGATTCTCAGAGGGCATGGTTGTATGGATACAGTTATATGGATATGGTTATATGAACTGGATGATCCCGAGGTCCTTTCCAACCCAAACCATTCCATGATTCTATGAATTCAGGTCCTGGCCTTTTCACCCTGATCTGTGTAGTTCTTGGGGTGCAGGATATCAGCACAGAACCATTCTCCATCCCTCCCCATGCCCATGGCAGAGGAAGAGGTTGTGCCATGCTCTTCTCTCCCTGCAGCTGGTCTGGCTGGTGAGCTTCCTGTCCGCCTTCTTCCTGAGCCTTCCCTACGGAGTCGCTGTGGGCGTGGGATTTTCCGTGCTGGTCGTGGTTTTCCATACCCAGTTGTAAGTCCCGGGAGCAGCCCCAAAGAGCAAAAAGAGAAGGAAAACCTCACGACAGATTCCTTTTATGAGCGACCTCTGGCCCGAGCGGGGCAGGGGCTGCGGCAGGAGCCCGGGGGAGTGCAGGTGTCCTCCTGGAATGTGCAAACAGGAATGGCAGGCGCTAATTTACTGCCGGCCCTGTGCACATCCCAAGGCAGGGGAAGGCTGAAGGAATCCGCTCCAGCTGCCTGCATAGTTCCCAGCAGAAAGCCCTGCTCGGAACGTGGACGTGTGTGAAGGTTTCACACCGGGTTTAATCCATTAAAGCCCTTTATTGACATTTCCCAGCCTGGGATCTTAAACTGCTGACTCTTTGGGGTTTGTACCCTATAGACTCTGCAGGGATGAAATGGAGGTGTTTTCATGAAGCCAGTTTTCATCCCCTGCTATGGAATGTGGAGCGAAGCAGTTTGCTTCTCCTCCACCACTTACTCTAACGCTGGTTGCCCCTTCTCTCCCAGCCGAAACGGCTCTGCCCTGGGCCAGATCACTTCCACTGACATCTACAAGAACCCGAAAGCCTACAGCAAGGTAAGCAGAAACACGGAACGCTTTGGGTTGGAAGGGACCTTAACATGATCCAGTCCCAACCCCTGCCACGGGCACTTGAGCATCCGTTCTCTGGCACAGTGTGGTGAGGACGCTCGAGCCCATGAGGTTGGCTGCTGTCTGGTTTCAGGGGTAGCAGGAGAGCTGCTGCTGTTACCTGCTGCCCCAAGCCCCCATCACCCTGCAGCACCCCAGCAGGCCTGGGCTGAGCTCTTGTCTCTGTTGCAGGTGCATGAACTTAGTGGCATTAAAATCGTGACCTACTGCTCCCCACTGTATTTTGCCAACTCAGAGATCTTCCGGGAGAAGATCATAGCCAAGGTGAGTGCTGCCCTAACACCCTCCTGCTTGCAGCCAGCCCCAGACGGCCCTTGCTCCCTCTGGCATCGCTGCACGGAGTTAACTCAGCCTAGGATGGCCACATGCAGCAGCAAAGCACCAGGCTCTGGGTGCTTTATGCCAAAGCAAAGCCTCTTTCCCACAGACAGGGGTGGATCCTGGCAAAGTGTACCTGGCCAGGAGGAAGTACGTGAAGCGGCAGGAGAAGGGCACAGCACAGCCACCACCAAACCTACCCAAACTCCTGCTGCGGCAGAACAAGGTAACTCGGTCTGGGTTCCTGTGTTGAGGAATGGGACCCCAAGTCCCCATCAAACAGCTCCTCTTGACACAGGATTTTCTGCACTGTCTTCCTGACCACACTTTGCTTCCTTTCCTTCCCACCTACATCTCCATTCCTCCCAACAGCCTAAACCTTAAGATGCAGCAGAACAGGAAGTGGCTGGGATTAAGAAAGCTGTAGAGATGGGAACAGGGTGAATGATCTGCTAGGAACTGGGCTTGCCCTCTTTCTTTAAAGATGCCCTTTGTCAGCATTTCAGGGTAGACGTGCCCTTCTGAAGCACATTTCCCAGCTTCACTGGAGCAGCCTTGAAGCACGTGAACAGGAATAACTTGAGATTAACTCACTGTACCCCAACCCCAAGGGACTTTCAGTCCAGCACCAGGCTGGAGTTGGTCCAGATTAAACCACTTCCTGCCACCGACTACTTGAGGTGCATTCACACGTCAGGACCTCGGCTCGCCCTGCCCTCACTGCACCTTTCTGCTTTGCTGCAGACCTTGTCCTTGCAAGAGCTCCAGAAGGACTTTGAAGGCAGCTCTCCAACAGACACCAACAACAACCAGACGACCGCTAACGGGGCCAGCATCTCCTACGTGACCTTCCAGCCCGCAGCCCCCAGCGGCGCTGGCTCCAGTGAGCTGGGCAGCACTAGTACTGCACAAGGAAGCACTGTCCTGCCTGCAGCAGAGCTGGACCCTGTGATGACAGCACCGCCCTACCTCAGCTTCCACACCATCATCCTGGACATGAGCGGAGTGTGTTTTGTTGACCTCATGGGCACAAAGGCGCTGGGCAAGGTCAGTTGTGTTCTCCAAACACAGGCAGGCAATTGGGCAGCTTGGATAAAGGTGTTTGCCCTCCTCACCAGAGGCTTTCTCCTTCAGCATTCCCAGGACCCGCGGAAAGCCCTGGACCAAAGGCTTCACGTGTAAATACACAGCTGGAGCAGAAGTGTTATTAATCCGCTCTCTCCCTTCTCATCCCTTCTAGTTGTGTTCCAGTTACCAGAAGATCGGGATTAAAGTGTTCTTGGCAAACGTGCAGGGTAAGAATCCACACAGAACACATTTCCATGTGATCTCCCCCCATTCGTGTGCCCCTGGCAGACAGACCTTTTTGTGCTCCTTATGCAAACTGTGTGAGCTGTCAGCCTTTGACGGACCAGACTAGCCCAGACGAAAGAAGAGAACAGAAGAAAGGAAAGAGAAACCCTGTTCTCTGTGTGTGAAACAGCTCCTTTCACTTGGGAAGGGATCCAGGTGGAACTTCTCCATGTTTAGCATGTAGGAAAACAGATCCCTGCACTAATTCCTGCAGCAGACCTGTTTCTTCTCCATGCATCCCAGCCCTGCTTTAGCTCACAGGACCACTGTCAGCCTTCGGAGCCTTCCTTCTTTGGTTTCCTTCTTGCTCATGGGCCTTTCCTTTCTTCAGCCCAGGTTTACAATGACATTAGCACAGGCGGAGTCTTTGAGGAAGGAGGCCTGGACCGAAGCCACCTCTTCCTGACAATCCATGATGCCGTCCTGTTTGCACTGGCAGATACCAAAGCAGTTGTCCGCCCACCCAGCTTAGAAGAGGTAAATTTGCCCCCCAGGATCTCTCCAGCTCACAGGACTCTACTGTGAGGTTTACACACTGCACAGGGGCAGAATAACCCAACACTGCACCCTTCTGCTTCATCTCAAGCAGCAAAGGTCTAAATCCTACAGAACATTTCACCTCCTAATTCTGAGGTCTGGGCTGGCACCTGTGGTTTGAATTGATTCAATCCCTACCTGGGAGATGAATGTTGGCCCAGCCTGGAGAAGCCAAAAGAGCTGTGCCAACACTATGCCCTCATTTTGGTGTTGGCTGGGATATGCAGCCGCATACAAAGGCAGAATTTGACCCCCAGAGATGAAAGCAAAGCACATTCACCAGTCCGGGAATAGCCCCAGCATCCCTGAACGCTTCCCTTGGTGGGAGGAGGAAAGGCTGAGGCAGGGATGTGGCACATGCTCACAACACAGGCTACTTCCCCAGAAGCAGGCTGGTTTATTGCATGGTAACTGGAGCTGGAAGCAGGGCAGTGTCAGTCAGTTATCCCCTAGAACAAGTGAGGGTATCTCCTATCTCAGCAGAGAGATCTCTACATGCCAGCTCAGTCAGAGGAGATAAACCCCTGCAATGGGATTCCTTCTGTGCCTCTTCTTCCTGGGCATTTCCCTGGGAGCACTTGGGATGTTTTAAGCCCTCTGCACTCCTTCCAACCCCACACTCTGCTAATTCATGGATCTGACTCTCTCCGGCACAGAGGCCAGACCAGACCGAGCTCTCCATCTATGATGAGTCTGCGGATGAAGGCAGCACAGAGTTCAAGAACCTGGAGGAGGTGAGCTCTAGTGCCAGGGTCACTCGTTGAGCTGTGGACGTAAGGTGGCAATCAGAAGCTGTGGTTGGGATTGATGGGATGGGCAGTCCCCTGCACCAGGCACACTGCTAGACACAGAAATGCTTTCAATAGCTGAACACTGATTGAAAGCTCCTGTCAGGAGCTCGGGCAGGCACCTGGATGAGGAGCAGCCCTGGCTCCCCACAGGGCAATCCTTCAATCCAGTCTGGCTCACACATCAGACCTGTGGTCTCCATGCACTGGGGTGAACTTGGAGAACCAGGTTTAGCTCAAGCCCAACAGTCCCTGGTCAAGTTTTCCAGCACCCTTTGTTAATGCTGAAGTTATCTGCACCCACTGAACCCCGGTCCATGGGAGGAGACACATTCCAGCGCTGACCTTCCCCATGCTATCCATGCATGGCTGGAAGCACAGTGACCTCCCTGCCTCCGGCTTTCCCTTGCGGAGCAGGGCTGGGAAGGAAGGGCTGGAGTTTCTGCCCTCGTTCCCCTGTGTGACCAAATGGCTTCTGAGCTGTGCTGCTGGGTGCGTGCCACGCATCAGCCCTAACCCAGCGTGTCTTGTGTGCCCTTTAGGAGATGTTTGGCAGCATGTTCCACTCAGAGACCCAGACAGCTCTGTGAGCACACAGGGAGCCTCAGCACAAGGCAAACCCTCCCAAAGAGCCTCCTCTCTCCCATCCCCTCGTGAAGAGCTGCACTTCTACCGGGGGGACACAAGAAGTTTGCAAAGCAAGAGGCCATCACCCCTCTTGAACCGGTACATTCCTCCCTCCATCCTGCTCTACTTCTGCTCTTGAGAGCAGGCTGCAGAAACCCTGTGGAACTCAGGAAATGCCATCCCATGAACTACAGAAGAGCAGTGAGTTCGTTTCAAGGCAGGTGTCTTAACACAGAGAACAATCACTTGCTATTGCCAAGGGGCCCAGCAGCCAAACTGAGATCTGAGTGTATTTTATGCCTGCAACTGGGGGGCAGCCCGAGTGAGACCAGGACCATCTCAGGCAAAGGAGCCTGCCTCACTAACACAGAGCCAGCCAGCTGGGAGCTTCACCATCCCCAAGTCTGACGTTCTCTTCTATCGGAGTGATGCTAATAACAGCTGCTGTTCTAGTTCCCTTTCCTGATGCCTTCCCTTCTTACCCAGTGCTGATGTTGTGACAGTAATGACAAGATGACAATATGAAGCCTGAAAAATCAAAGCGTAAGCCAAGGCTTAAAGCACCCCTTCTTTCTTCAGTGCATTTCAACCTTCAGTATGGCTTTTATGGCAATAAGGGTAGAAAAGATTTAAGATAAAGACACACTGCAATGGAAACCATTTCCCTTGTTTGAATTGCAAACCTTCCTATAGAGTATTGCCAGCACTGGGATAAAACGCAAGAGTCAACAAGAGAAAGTGAACAGTAACGGAAGCAAAAGTGGACAGTTTGTGATCTTCACGTGAATGCAAAAAATAATGGCCTTAATAATGAAAGTAAATTATAATTTAAGAAGCTATTTCTATTTTATTTCTCTATTAAAAATATCAGCAAGCTTTAATGCGCAGGTTTGAGCTACCTATCCATTACTGAGCTGATTCCCCAGCACATTGCTAGAAGGCTTTGGGGCAAAATTGGGCTTTCCTCCAGCTCCCAGATGTCTCATGTAAGGAAACCAGAACTTCATGCACCATCACAGACACCCATCAAAGGAAGCAATAGCAGGACCCTGCTGCTTTGGTTTTAGGTACCTGAGTCACCATTTCTCTACCTCAGTTTCTGCTTGCGTGGTGCAGGAGAGAAATACAACCAGAGAGGGATGGTTTCCAACAGGAAAACCCCACCAAGTAATGGTTATTGCTTATCTTAATCTTAGAGAGCAGTGCTTTTCCCAGAACCATGTATATAGCTTGTTCTAGAAGTAAAATAGAGATGAATTCTCTTATATTACTCATGGTAATGAGTATGGTAATGGTCATGGTGATTACTCATGGTCTTTTGCTACTGCCCGAGCGCTGCTTTTACTTGCTCTTTGGAAGAAAGCAACCAAGCAATCGGTGCAATGGAACAAGAAACTCTCCTGCAGCAGCAGATCCATGTGTCTGTATCTCTGAGGTGCAATCGCACAACATCGGGGGCAAACGGCCTTGCTGCAGGCACAGTCTCCATTCCCAGGTGCATGGGGAAGTGAATTAGGGAACTGAAATCAAAGCCTGGATGGGAATATCTGCGTTTCCAGTGTCCCTTTACTGCTGTCAAAGCCAGCGCTGCTGCTGTGTAACGGCTCCGAAGCCTCACTCGATGAACGCGGATGTACAACCAGCTGAAATGTTTGTAATTTATTTAATTTAATGTTGGTTTCATCCTTTCTTTTTTGATAATAAAGAACGTGTGAACACCCATCTGCTGCTGCTGAGCAGAGAGCGGGCTCCTCGCAGCTCCCAGCCAGGATGCGGCACCTCGGGACACGTTACGGTGTGAAACCAGGCAAGGAGCATGGACTGGAGCGGGACAGCACCGTCCCCATCGCACCCCACTGACCGCTGTCCTCCTGCCCAACCTGTGTCCATACAGCCCCTCCTCACAGCACCTTTCACCATCAGGCACACTGCGGGAGCAGCATCCCGAGCCCCTGCGCTGTCAGCGGGCTCTGGACACGCTCTGAGCCATGCTGAGGGGATGCTCCCGTTCTCGCTCTCTGCAGTGAGGACGGGAAGTGGTTCATTACATTCTCAAACCATCCCTTTGACACAAGAAAGACGCGATTCCATGCAGAGAACCAAACATCTCCATCATGTCCCCAAACAGTCCCTTTGACATGGGAAAGATGCGATTCCATGCAGAGAACCGAGCATCTCCATCATGTCCCCAAACCGTCCCTTTGACATAAGAAAGATGTGATTCCATGCAGAGAACCGAACATCTCCATCCCGTCCCCAAACCACCCCTTTGACATGGGAAAACGCGATCCCATGCACAGAACCGAGCATCTCTATCCCGTCCCCGACACCCGACCGCCGCCATTGTCGACTCCCACGCGCGAGCGGAGGGGGCGGGCCCAACGCGCCCATTGGCCACGCTCTCGGGCGTGGTGCGTGACGATTGGTGCTCCTCCCCGGCCCTCAGTGGGGTCCGGCCGGAGGCTGAAGTCCGCCGGGGATGGCGGGCGGGAGCGGGCGGCGGCGGGCGCGGTGCGCGGCGGGCCTGGCGCTGCTGGCCGCGCTGCTGGCGGGGGTGGCCGCCGTGCTGCTCCGTGCGTACGTGCTGCGGGCTCCGGCCGTGCCGCGGCTCTGGGCCCGCCGCGGAGCCACCGCCGCCTTCGGTGCCGGCGAGAGGCTGGAGCTCAAGGAGGCGCTGCGAGGTGAGGGGGCCCGGTTGGGCCCGCCCTCCCGTGCACTGCGCCTCCTCGGGGGCCGTGGCCGCAGCCCCGGCCTCTGTTTCCATGGGGTGCCCCAGGGCTGTGCGGTTCTGTCCACAGGGGGAGAGCTTGGCACCAGGGGGCGCGGGGGGAGCGCACTGTGTCTGTACCCTCCGCTGCCAGATGCGTTTAGGGAGGCTGCGATTGGGACCCGTGTTTTGCATGGCAGGGATTTGATGCTGGAGAGCGGCCTTGTCCGCCCCTGTTTAAACGACACGAGGCTAGAAAGACAAACAGGAGACCTGTCTTTATGAAACAAGCTGTTAGCACAGCCTCACTGTTGAAAAAAAGCCTTGAAGTGCCATCTGGCAGCTGCCGGAATAGGCTGTGACTATGAGGAACTGGGTCAGCCAACAAAACTCAGCTGCTTCTGGACAGTGGCGTTTGTGACAGCATCATTCAACACATTAGGGTGAAGAATGGAGTATCTAGGGAAATACCTTGGCTGGCAGTGGAAGGAAGTGCTGGTGTGCTGCTTGCACACAGCTCAGCTCAAGTACAGCAGTCTCTTTTGGTAGTGGCAGCTCTTCCTGTCCTGAGATAATCCTTAAAGCCTGGAAAACATTCAGGAACAGAAATACTCCTTTCCCTTTTGCCATGCAATTTAAGTCTTGTTTGACTGATTTTGGTGTCGAATGATTTCTATTTCATATTCCATTGAAGGTGCTATTAAAATCCCAACTGTTTCCGTATCTCCAGAGGACTTGAATACAACTGCCATGGCCGAGTTTGGGAATTACATTCGGAAAGGTACTAAACTCATTCTTAACCACCTCTGCTGCTCAGTTTTCTTTTAGTAAATGGAGAGTGTGTATGGGGTTCTTGAATAGACTGGAACAGATTTTAAGCTTGGTTTTCCTCCAGAAAGGACTGGCAAAACCAGCACGCAGAAGTCACCTCTGCACCATGCAGTGATGTAGCGTGGCCAGAGTTAGAATAGAGAAGGTTCAAGTGGCTTTTTGCAATGGTGGGGTTTGGTTTGTGACTTGGTTAAATGACCTTTTCAATTCCTTTCTTCACAGTCTTCCCAGCTGTGTTTTCTTCAGAGATCATCCAACACGAAACTGTTGGTGGCTACAGCCATCTCTTTACCGTCCAGGGTTCTAACCCTCAAATGATGCCCTACATGCTTCTTGCACACATGGATGTTGTGCCTGCTCCCCCAGAGGGTTGGGAATTCCCTCCTTTCTCAGCTGCAGAGCATGAAGGATTCATCTATGGACGAGGAACTCTGGATAACAAAAACTCTGCCATAGTACGTCGCCTTGGTAATATCATTTCAGAGAGATACAGAGCCTGACAAAAGGTAGATTGGAGGAATCTGTTCTCTTGAAACTCACTGTGTTGTCTCTCCTACCCCTCTTTGCCCTATGTAAATTGTATATCATGCTGTGTTTGAAGTCAGGGGTAGACCTTGTGCACTTTCCCAGGTGTCATGTGGGCATTCAGAGCCAAGCTTGGCCCTTTGCAAAGGCTTGAGTTCCAAATTAAACACTGTTGATTTAATATTAGAGTCAAATATCACCTATCTAGACTGTGGCAGAACAAAGAGCTGTTGTACGAAGTACATTTGGGAGGAATAAAGTACGGAAAAGATTGATCTGTGAAGGATTTCTCATTTGGGAAAAGCCTGGTGGAAAAATTAATAAGGAAAATAGTCCTTTGTGACTTGCAAAGATCATTTCCATGGCAGCCCTCTGTTTCTGTTTAAATGGATGTTTAGCAAAGAGCCTGCGGCTGCGTAGACCATGTTCCTCGAAAGTTTCTTGAGGTTGTTTAATCATCAGTATCAAAGCCTTGCAATTTACAGCCTTGGTTTGATGCTTCCTTCTACTGTGAAGTGCATGAGTAACTCCACAAGTGGGCAATAACAATGAACAGTTGCAGTGAACATGGCAAGGTGGAGGCAGTGTCATTTCTTCTAAGAGAAGAGATTAGCTTCAATTTAAAAATGGGGCGAGATGATACCAAGACAGCAAATGGGAGATTTCATTTCTGTTTCTGTCATCTTAGCACTTCTTGTACAAAACTGAGTTCTCATTCATATAAATGGATTTGGAGGCTCAAGTCGGAGCCAAGCTGCGTGTTGGACAGGCAGCTTAAAGAACAGCGAGTTCCTTGGATAATCCCAACTGTGATGGGCTTCCTGTGGGGCTTGTCCCTGACTTCACCAGCAGCAAGAACAAGCTGACACTGTATTTTGTGTATGCACACTGTCACTGTGTAGCACACTAAGTCTTAAACATTAGTGATCAAAACTATTGCAGTGTGTTTCCCAAAGAATGTGAACATCCCCAGTAGGAGCTGTACAAATAAAAGCTCAACTGTGAACAGGACAAAGTCTCCTTAAGGGCTGTGAATGCATCATGTTTCTTTGACATCACATTGCATTCTT